GCAAAAGATGATAGTGTTATGATTGTGTTGTGGCATTAGACTTTAATGTTTCAAATTCCGATTTCTTTCAGGCCTAAATATCAAATAGGTGCTGTTTAATGATTTGCAGCAGTGACAACATTTGGTTTCCGTTCAGCATGTGTTGCAACAAGAGGAATTCATGGGACTTCTTTGCTGCCTTATACAAAAAATAATATAAGTTTCACTATATAGGAATTAAGCTCAGAGGTTCCACACAGTCTGCATTATTATACTGATGTGTAGAGGGAGGAATAATGGTATTTACACTTACCTTTCTGCACTCAACCAGTGTGTTTATGTTGAGGCGTGTCGCAGCAGGATTAAGATATTTCCATACAAACACCACATTTCATGTTTCATCAGCTTTCATCACACATCATGATCCCTCTGTAACCTCTTTCCTCTATATTTACATTTGAGGCCTTTAGCAGACAGTGTTATCAAGAGGACCAATCACTGTAACAGTAAAGTTCGCTTAAACACCATGGATCACCAGAATTACACACAACTTAAACGCAAAGCTCAGAGTCAGAGTGAAGACTGTGTGAGTGGAGACTGAGGTTGTGATCTTGGTGTCCAATTTTAGCACATTTTTATAACCTCAGGCAGGATGTTGTTTCCCGTTTCCACCTTGCCTCATGCTGTAGCAATTAATACACTTTAATGAAGTAAACCATATTTCATAAGGGGCTGTTGTTTAGGCCGCCATCTACTAACGTCACTGCTGATCATGTTGATCACAAGATGAGAGCCGCCAAGATCTGGGTGGCTTACCGCTTCGCCTAAACAATTTCCCGCGGGAAACACTGCTTAGTGTGAGCAACACCAGAACCCTCAAACTTACTGGAAGATATAAAGGCTTGGAAAGGAATCAGAGAGTCTAACTTCTATAATGACAACCTTCTGGGAGACGAGTATCACATGAAGATTGAATTTATGAATGCAAGCAGAGGGAATAAGGTCTTGAAAGTATTGTTTATTTAGTCTATTTATGTTTCATTAATAATGTAATTTATGTCAGATTAACCAAAAGTTACATGTTAATCAGATGCCCGCTTGAAGAATGCTTTACTTTTTTGAGCCATTTATGTATGTTAATGCACTTTATTCAAGCTGGGAGCCTTTGTTTTTCCACTATAGAGTGCTACAGGGATGACGTTTTTTGTAGACCGGCAAGGAAGTAAGCGTTTCCCTGATTCCATCATCAAAAAGCCTATGGGATGTTTCCATTTGATTTTAGATTATTGCAGAAAGTAAGCTCTGTGGCAAACAAAATTATATTTATGATATATTTATTCAGGAAGATATTCCTCACAAATGAATGATTTTTGAAGCATAAATGCAATTACCAGAAGTAAAAAGCTCACGTTAGGCTATAAATAAACTATACTACAGTTGCATGACTTCAGTGTTGCCACAACAACAAGGCTGTAAAGCCATGTTCGGCTTGATGACGTTCAGTAGTCTCATTCAGCCATTTGTTAGTACCCACCTTTTTAACACACCTAAAGGCTTCATAATTCACGAGTTGGGTGTGTACTGATGTATTTTATGTCGTAGAACAAAACATGAAAGTCTCTTAACCTTGTGTTTTTCAATCTTCAGCAGATTTAAAAACTCACTCATATCTCCATCTGTAAAGCTTTTAAACAATGGCAGACAAAGCCGGAACTGGCATTGGATTATGATGACTTGTTGATTTGCATTTTTGTAGAGGCATTTTTAGCATATGATGTTATTTTTGTATTTATCTTTTTGTATTTCTTATTGCTACGTTAGGTATAATGTTGGATTTGTCAGTGTACTATGTTGCATGTTGTATTTTGTATGGCTGCAGTGTGGGTGTAGGGCCCAAAACAAATTTTTCCACACTGTGGGACAATAAAGTTAATCTTGATCTTGATCTTGATCTTGATCTTGATCTTAACCACTGACCCTATGTCAGGCATAACCAAAAACCCATCCAAAAAACCCATCAACTTTGAGACGAGGGAACAAAAATTTGAAACCATTTTCGGGTTTTAGGACTTATTCCTGCACCACTCTGTTAGGGCTGCAACTAATTATTATTTTTGCTTAAAGGTAGTCTGTTGATGACCTCAGGGACCCAAAATGTAACCTGCAAAATGAGACCCAAATTACCACGTATTGACCAGGAAGAGATGCAAAATATACACAAAATAACTACAAAAGGGACTAAACAACGACAGAGACACAAAATGACCCAATAAAGACACAAAGTTACCTCAAAGAGACACAGAACAACTACAAAGATGCAAATCAACAACACAGAAAGAGCCTGAACAACTTAAAAGTCTGTGTGTCTTGCCATAGGAGAGGTGGTGGGGCCTTTGCATGAATGTGCCCTGGGGCCCATTGTCTGATAATCCGCCCCTGGATTGATTGACTTAAAAATGTCCATCACAAGTTTCCAGAGCCCAGTGTGCTTCAGTTTGCTTTTGTCCATGAAAAATCCAAAACTCAAACAGTTATAGTTAAAATAATTAAATATTTTTTAAAAACACATCTTCACATATGAGGAAATGTAATCAGAGAGTGTTTGAATTTTTTGCCAATGACTTACACAATTTATTAGTTTCTGTAGTTGTTAATAAACTGACCATTTCAGCACTTGTCAATGTTGTAAAATATATTTTGCTTGATAAGACTGTTATGGGTGAATAAAATCTGAATCTGGAAAAGAAATCGAAGAAACATCCCATTTTTTCTCCCCTTTTCTAACAAGACAAGATGGTTGAGGTGCTAGAGTCTTCTCCCAGTTATGAGTGTGAAAATGTTGCATAGCCATCTGTGGCAGAAACCCATTTGAATTTCATACGAGTCGAGCTCCTCTTGATGCCACGACATGAAAGCCTTCACGGTTCCTCTCAGCCACGACCGCTGCCCTCGTGAAATGGGCTCATTGAGCTGTAAGGTACAAAGGGACACTACAGCGCCTGGCAATCACCAAACGCATCAGACACAGACACCAAGCTGCTCCGTAAATAAAACGGCAGTGTGTAGTACAGAGCGCAATAATAACTGCCTCACTATCTCCTCGGCTCTTAGTGGAAAGATCTCTGTGGGTGGTGGTGGAGGAAATCTGTTTTTTTTCCCCCAGTAGGAAGATGATGAGACAGATATATCTGTGGGGAGTTCCTCGCCTGTCACTGTAGTAAAGTCGTAAAAGCTGAAATCCACACAGAGATGAGCTATCAAGGGATGAAATACAGCGCTGACACACACCATAAAGATTTCAGTGCTGATTCCTCAGGACAGCTGATGGCAGCATGGACTGAATTAGTGAGCAAGCCGCTATCTTCCAGAGCCAGAAACATGAAACTACAGTCCACTGAGCTGTTGCTTGACACAAGAATAACTCTGGAGACAATTACTACATGGACAAAAAGAAGTGCCAGTGACAACACTTTAAGGATTTTATGAGGAAAAGTGAAATCTTTTAATTAAAAACCCAAACTATCATATCATATAAGTCAGTCAGAGGTTCATAGGTCAGTTTTGTGACTGCAAACAGATCCTGGCTGCAATAAATCGAAGTAGAGCTGAAAGGATGAGTTGAATAGTTGATCAAAGAAAATGAATCAACAGCAATTTTAATGAGGTTTTTTTGAGTCATTTATCAAACAAAAATGCCAGTGAAACCACAGGTTCAACTTTTTCACATTTGAATATTTACTGCCTTTGGGATTTTACTAGCCAGCAACCTCTGGGGCTGAAAACCAAGCCAATATGGTAGTGCCAAAAACTGTAGTTCCTGGACCGGCCACTTGAGGCTGGCTCCAGAAGTGCGTTGATCCTCATAAACATGTTTACAGCCTGGAACAAAAAACAGTTTTGGTCTCTTTAGCTATAGTTTTATACCTATAATTTCCCCCTTCATGACAACTGCACAGGGGTTGAATTTTTATATAACTCATCCGTTTATGTTTTATTAAGGCTCAAAGTTATGCATAATTAAGGGCAAGCTGCTTTGAGTGACAGGCTGTCTGCCCACAGTGTCCTCAGCTTTATAGTCAGATCCATCCCTCGCTCCTTCTCCCAAATATGGTCACCTCTGGCTTCAAAAACCAACATGGCAACGGCCAAAATGCCAAACTCAAGGCTCTATTATTTTTACAGTCCATGGATTTTTTGTTGGTTGGACTTAAGATACAGCCACACATGAGCGAAATTACCATTAGTGAATATTGGCTTTCACATTCACTTCCATTTAATAAGGGGTGAATAAAACAATTCCTCCGATGGCAAAGCAAATTCACATCTTATCATGTGGAGTTTAACTTTGGTGAACTTTGACAGGCTAAATCGTTGCCTCAACCTATAGCAAAGGAGTATTTGTCGCGTAGGGGTTGGTGAGTTTCCTACAACTTTCTAAGTCAGAAATTTGACTCCAATATACATTTCTGACTGGGAACTCAGAAATTCCCACTTCCTAGTGCAAATGGAACGCACCAAAAGCAAACAGTTGTGAGACATAACCTTGTGCTCTATTATATTATTTTTTGAAAATATTTTTTTATGACTGCAAATTATTTTCTTGATTAATTCGTTAATAATTTGGACAGTAGCAAAACATGCCGATCACAGTTCACTAAAGCCCAACTTTATGTCTTCAAAAGTCTTGAACATGATGAACAGTCCAAACCCAGAGATGTTGGGTTTACTTTCATAAAGACAGAGAAAAGTAGGTAATCCTTACATTTATCTTGAATAATGAATGAAACAAACAAGCAATCATAAAAATAGTTGACAATATTTTTTTCTTTTTAATGACTGATTGTTTCAGCTCTACATTTTATTCTCCTAAACAAGTTGAATTAAAGAATAATAGACATATCAACCGATAATGAAACCCTTAGTTCTACCATCCCAAAGTCAAAGCTCAGAGGTTTACTTCTTTGTGCGTGAAATGTCTTCCTGGTTTTGCACTTAAATGACTCTGGTGCTGTTTTTTTTAGCAGAGACAGAGTCTTCTGGGTTTCTGCCAGGCGTGAACAGTGGGGAGCCACGATGGACTCGCAGGCTGATGCAAGAGAAGTCAGACAACCAGAGCGTGGATCAGCCCCGAGCAGGTGAGTCACTCGTCTTTACCTCGATAGATGCCGTCTGTTCCTCCAGGTCAGACCAGCAAACTCTCTGCAGCACTTCTTCATTGTTCAGTGTAGTGGTGGGCAATATGGAAAATATCTTTTATCGCAGTGTATGTAAATATTATGTTGCTGACCTGTATTTCAATTGTGTGGTGGACAAAATTGTAGAAACACCTGTGAGTAGATAATGTTGTATAATATTTGAGTTACACACACACAAGACCCTAAAGGCTGCATGGTGTGCATTGCATTGATGTCGGAGTCTGCAGCTGTTTGGCGCTGTTTATAGGTGCGCGTGTGTGGTGTATGCAGGTAAACAAGGAGGGCGGAGTGTACCAGAGATCTCTGCCTCTCCCCTGCAGGTGAACTCAAAGGTCATGCGGCATTGTGTCAGTTGTCAGGAGTGTGTAGTCGGCGTCGAGCTCACACACCGACAGAGGAGACAGACGGTGCTCACAAGAGGAGGCTGCCAGAGTGAAAGTCAGATTAGATTTTCTAAGGTGGTCTGTCTTTAGCAGATGCCAAGTTACCTTCCAGTGCTTCCTGAGTCTGGTTGCACTCCTGAACAGTTTGCACAGATTCAAACTGCTCCTCATGAAATTATCACGGAGACACGCAGTCAATCGACAGCCATTATCAGACCTCTGTTTCTCTGGTTCCCAGGCTGATTAGCCGGCTGGCTGACATGAGCCGCATTCATCACAGCTGACAGTTTTATTATTAAAAATTCAGATCGGAGCGGAGATCTCTTTATTGTTGTATGGGGAGAATAGCAGAGTAGATAAAATAACACGGCTGCACAATGAAAAATCCTTTGCCTTCCTGACAGAATACAGTGCTGTATCTTGCCATCATTTGCATTTACTCTGTGGCGGTGCTAATATTAGGCTGTCACTCACAATGTTGTATTGTATGCAAACCACACAGTTATTGTATTCTCGCAGAAATTTATGCAAATAGTTATGCTAATAATATACCATGCAAATGGCCTGTTCAGACCACTCTCCTAAATACCACCTTAAATGTACTCTGCCTGCTGAGGGCGTGCAGCCTAAAAACAACACACACAATGAATTATTTTAGGCCTTTTAAAAATAGATTTGAGTGAAACACGCTTTTCTGACTTGCAAGGATGTCTAAAGCTCATCGCAAAGCACAAAGTCTAAAAGTCTTCCCAGACGTTTTCACATAGTTTGTGACAGCAGTTGGGGACGATCATGTCAGGGCATCCTCATTTATTTGCAAAATGTTTACATAATGTGCATCTGGCACCATCTGTTCGTCTGTATGAAAGGTCTGACTTAAAAATAACTTGACTGAAGACGTTTGTTTATTTAAGAGTCTTGATTCGAGCAACATTTTATCACTAAACCTCAAATCTCCAAGTCATTTTTTAATCTTAAATAGGTGTATGAAGAACGGTTCTCGCTCCTGATAATCTGCTCTGGAAAAATAATTCCACTGCTCAGCGACATTACGAGTAATTCACTGGTTATATATTGCATTTGGAGAGCTTACATGTGAGAGGTGCACGAACAGGGACTCATCAGGGACATTTCATCTGGCACTTGTAGTAAATTCACACATTACACATCGCTGTCACCACATGTCCTCCTCTGTGACAGTCTATTTTTTCCACCGCTGAGAGAGAAAATGAGCCACGGTGTCTCTCTCTACGAGCACTGCATTTACTCAATACAACAATTTGTGTTTAGTTACCTGATAACACACTTAACCTTTATTGAGTTCCTGACTACAAGCAGATCTCCCTCATTATCTCCTACAAAGACACAAGCGTACTGCGGGTAGATGCTTCGCTGTGGTAATTCGCTGGAGACAAGCATGCGAACAAAGGGCTGGACAGGTAGTATAAGAAACACCAGCGAGCGCGGCTCCAGGCTCAGGTTGCCGCCCTCTTCCTCAGCAGGCCGTCTGACAGTGATTACATAATCTGTAGTGTGATTAAAAATCCTGACCCGGACCTCGAGGGGATATTTTCTTGGGGATTGCACAGTAACGTCCAGCCGCAGGCTCTCTATCTCTCTTTCATCCCTCCACTGCTTAACAAGATGGAGACTGTGTGACCCGCCTTCAGCTGACAAGCCTCGTAGACCGTTGTTGCTAGGCAACTGAATGCTAAATTTTGAAACCCAGACAATTCTGTCTTTCAAGCATTAAAAGTCCAAAGAGCTAAAAATAGACTGTGGGGGGGGGGGGGGTGTTGGCAAATATAAATGATGTAAATGAAGTAAGTGGCTCATGCTGTGTGTGTCGTCGAGGCTTGTTATGTTGTTTATTTTGGCAAGTGACAGTCAGCTGAGAATAGTATTTTTCCACAGCCATATTTTAGGAGTTTTTGGGAAAGAGTTGAGTAAGGGAAGCTGGCAGATAATCTAACAGAAATAGTATTCAAATGGAATTGGACTGTTATCGGCGGAGTCAGATTATGGATGCCACTCAAAACAAACTGCACTTAATGCGAGTGATATTTGTTGCCAAGTAAAGTTTTGGAAAATTTGAAGCAGTGCAATGATGACCTTGTTCACTCTTTTTCACTTTCTGCCAATAAAAACGACTCAAGGTTTATGGAATAAACATAATAATCATAAAACTCCTCTTTAAAGCCTTGAAGTCCTCTACTGCCCACATTATTTCACCATCATGGGAAATGTCTTTGCATTTTTAATTAGCACTTAAAATGAATTTAAATCACCTTATTTTAAAAAAAGAAAAATACAAATACTACTTGTAGAAACTGTAGAAACCACAGGAAGAGCAACTGAGGGGAGATCCCTCTTCCAGGACGGACAGATGTGCAAGAGATGTCGTCTGTACAGGACAGATCAACATAATAAATGTACAGTGATAATGATACATTAAGAGAGAGGTGCGTGCAAACAGCAATGACCAAAGCTACAACAAGAAAGCCCAGACACACCAAATCAACTTTAAAGATCTTGTGGCAACAGAGGCTGACTGTTGCGTTTCCTGTATCTCTGCTAAAATGTTACACTTGAACATGCCACAAAGACCACAGCTGACAGCCAGCCAGCATGTATGTCCTGCACCTGCGTGAGGGGAAATACGTCTCTGTATTTCCTGTGTGGTGCACCAGTGAATAATAAGAAAAACCATCAACATTACTGCTAAAAAGCTCAGTGGTTAAGGAAAAAAATAATCTTACCTTATGTAACACATTTGTTTTGGTCTCACTCCCTCTGGACTTCAGCTGTTTGTTTACTTTCCTCACTTCTGTTTCTCTTTTCGTGTGCTAAGCTGAACTGCCAATCACACCAACTAGGGCGGCAGACCCTCACCGAAAGCACAACATTGACCGACAGCCCAATATTGACAGTGGGCTTGGTGTGACGTAAGCTGCCGCCATATGTCACCTGCCCCAATCAACTGATAGAAGCCTGTTGCTGTGCATATTTTTGTAACACAATATGTAGAATTTAAATACTTCACATTAAAATGTCCCTGAACCCATCAACAACACTGCTGAATACCCGTGTACATTGGTTTTCAGCTGAACAGGTTAGAGGGTTTAGTTACTGTTTAAAGAGAGGATATGTATTTCTTGCCCTCCAGGCTGATGGAGATGATGATGGACAGCGTCGTATGATCACCTCTGTCACACCACTGTAACATGATGTTTACTGTTCTTATTGATAGGCGAGGTGGTGGGTACGGCATGAAGCCCTGCGGTCGTTTCATCAGAGTCGTATTCAAACTGCCTCAAAGGAAAGCAAATCAAAGAACAAATGCATAATTGAATTTACATTACACACCTGGATGAAATATTTATTTTTTGATTCCTCATGAAAAATGCAGGCTTGTTGCAGAGGTCTCTGTGTGTGTGTGTGTGTGTGTGTGTGTGTGTTAGCTCGATACTCCAACGCTGGTTTGGCTGATGCATGAGTTATGTCGATGCCATAGCTTGACTCCAGGACACCCCGCCAACTCTCCAATCGATAACATTACTCTGCACCGCCCACTGCCCCTTCATTCAGCAACACTGAACCCCCTTGCGGCAGGTTGACTCAGAAAGAGCTCAGCTTCTCACATCAGCACATCTTGTGCCTTCTGAAGAACTTGCCCGGCATTGACGTTATTCTTGAAGATTTAATCTGCTGCACAGGTTTATTGATCTGGGCTCAGATAAAATACACACATAAAGGATCTGTCGTCAGCGCTCTGTGAAACACTCAGCAACCATAACTGTGCAACATAAACACATCTCAGTTCTGAAAAGACAGAAAAATGTGCCTTTTTGATCTAAGCAACATCAACACATTCAAATGCATTTGCTACATAGACTTAAAACCCAAATATCAATCATTATTATGTGATTAAAATGACACCAACATAAACCACTAACTGGTTAATGCCGTGCTGGAGTTCGCAATGAGTTTTATGATCGCCATAAATGTTGCAGTGTTTTCAACTAAAAGCTAATAAACTTTTACACAGCAGACACTCGGTGTGTCGGGCTGAAAGCAGATGCATTAGGGGTAAATTTACGCTTTGCTTCTGACAAACAGTGACTCATTTTAACATGTGCCTCCTGGCTTTTATAATGCTGCAGAGTTAATTTGTAAAATTGTTCAGGGTCCTTTTTTCCATCACTGAGTTATTTTCTTTTATGATTTATCACTGTCTCTTTGTTGCTTCACAGTCAGAGGTGGACAATAAATAAAGCCAGCGTCAAGTCTTGGATATTAAAACTAAATGACACACAAGAGAAACACAGTGAAAAGAAATGATTTTGCCAATCGCCTAGCGATGTCTTGGTTGGCCCGGGTTAAGTGCTGGGCAGCATGTCAAATAAGTAAAGTTGAAATTACAGTAAATCCACTTTGCATTTTCACATTTAATGAAACTGTAACTACATTCACACAGCAGTAAGCATGACAGATAATCTGTGGAAAAAAACATACTCGGGATACTCAGTACCTCACCTAGTAGAACAGGCACCCCAT